TTCCGCAACCCTTACCGTCGACGTTTCACACCCACCCAAAGCCATGCTCCAAGTATACACCTTTCATAATCACTTTCGAATTGCCATAGTAACCGATCTTGAGCAATCACAATAATGATTTCTTTTTGTTGAACCTGCGTTATTCCTTGTTTTTCAACCCTAAGTTATCTGACTCCCTAAATATCGAAAATCAGTTATATTTTTCGTTTGCTACTTTTATATTAGTTGTAACCGTTGTAATTTTCATAACATACTCATCGGTTAATACCGCTTCTATTTTATTTAAAACTAACTGTAATTCCTCCTTATTAAATACTAATACTGCTATATCATATGCGTATCTAAGCGTGTTAATCTTTTGTTCCTGATGTCTATCCCTATAGTTCTGCTGCATACAAATAATTTATTCAAATTTAAAAGTAGCTGGGGCGACGATGTAGGTACATCTTCTTAGGGACTTCCCTAAAATTTTACTCAAATTCAGCCGACTTTTATCACTTCTTTATACCTAAATATTATGTCTACTTTCTGGAGTATTTTCAACATTTTTTCCCATTTAACATTATATAAAAAAGGTTTCCTAGATCGACAAATCCTACGCATACGCTCTTTTTACTGTTGTTTTCCCAACTAATATCTAAAAGGTAATATACATTGCACATTCTCCTGTTTCATCTAAAACCAAACTGGTCACCCCGTAAAATTTCTTCTGCCCTATTTTCCATCTCTTTCTGCTCAATTCGAGTTGAGATTTCTCTCTTTTTTTAGTATGTATCATAGAACGGCATGACCTACACAGGTTTAGACCATTCGGGTGGACGCCGGTTTATTCCAGGTCCGTCTGCCTAGCTCCAAGTTTTTCTGTGGTTTCCTTGGATCACTTAGACTAATGCTGGGTCAGTAATATTCCACAGATAAATAATATTTCATTCTCTTCTGTCTTCATTTCGTTTGTCTCAATCATTCTCACCCGAACCACCACCCACTCATTCCTACGATTCCTGAAAGGAGGCTGAAGAGGGTTTTCCGCCCTACATTCCGGTGTCGTCCAAAGGGACAAGATAGTAGGGCGTCTTCCCAGATATGAAGGGCTAGTTAGATACGTATTGGAAGCAGAAACAGAGGTAGACCTGAATTAGATTAACTGTTAGTTAGAAATGTGGTTTGCTCCAATTTTCGAGAAATACGAAGATGTCTGTCGAGTTTATAGAAGCATCTCTAAAGCGAGAGTAATTCCTCCAAATAAATATTCGTATTGAAACTGAAAGCTGTTACTTTTAACTATGCGGGCAAAACTGCGGGGTCGTCGCTATGTTTGACATTTGCGTTCGGTAGCGTAGTGTTTGGTCGGTGGTTTTGGTCTGTCATAAGCTATTCACCTTAAACTATCCTAATAAATACCGGTAAAAACAGTACTTTTCTGAACAAACATCGTTCAACATACTGCAAACAATTAATTTTTATAAAGATGCCCAAGCAGTTGAATAAGATTATCATTTGTTATCCGCATAATCTGTGTATTTCTAGAGGAAATTAGTCAATACTGACTTGCTATGACTTCATTAACCTTAATGATGTATAACGGTTATTGTTTTGTATCAAGTACACACTATACATACTACATCTTCCACCCATTTCTGGCTACAACACCGTGTATATATAAAACGAAAGCAATTTTCTGTTTCTTTTGCTAATACTAAATTAATACACACCGACAACATTACATTTAGAGCAGTTTTTTTATGATGCCTTTTCCTTTCGAAAAGCAATTCTAGACAATTCAAAGAAACCAACGTTTTTGTTTGAATTACCCAATGAAAATGGTCTGAATATAATCAAAAACCTTCTTGCTTTTCATTAGATTGACCTCGTCCGGCCTTTTTCTCGCATTTATGGTACAACGACTTGCACATGGTGATGATGATGCAACACAGGTGAATTAACTATTCTAGTACCTATGCTTTATAAATCGTGCTCCTTCTGTATAACTGATAAATAAGTTACTATTTTTAAACGATTTAAATTACAACATCATTAACCCTGAAATGACAGAAATATTAAATTAAAATTATTAAAAAACACCGGACAAACACTAATGAAGCTCGCTTGAGAAATATTAACCTACGAGTGATTTAGGATGTTCGGCGAGCGAATGGGGTATCGGCTCAAATGGAACTATTAAATTAACAGATTATTCCTTGTTTGAAAACAAAAACTCCTTAATTTAAGATAAAGTAATTCTTGATATTTCTAACAAAATCAGGAAGTAATAAAGTTAAATTTTCTCAAAAATTTCCTGATTTTCCCCAAGATATTTTTATATTTCATCATTTTTAGCATTCTGCGTCTCGAATAAAATAAATTTTGCATAGGTCTCATAAGTCACATTGGTTGGGACTGTCAAATAAGCATCACCACCATCTGGTGATAAAAAACTAAATTAACATTAAGGAACAAATTTACGTAAAAATAGCGCATGCAGATATTGAAATTGTTCAATTTGATTTAACATTAAAAAAAAAAAATAAGGCAGCAGATATAGATGGGATACAGGCAGAAATAATAAAACATGCAGGCCAAGAGGTTAAACATCGTATGCTTAGGCCAGCTAGCCACATTTATGAGACGGGGAAAGTCCCGGAGCCATACTAAAAAAGATAGGTGCGGATAGATGTGACATATTCAGAACAATTAGCCTAACTTCCCATGTGTCAGAAATCTTAACTAGAATCATACAGAGAAGGATGCAAAAAATGCACAAGGGAAAGACCAATTTAAGTGTAGAAGAAACGCAGGAGGCCATTTTAGCTTTATGGGTAATAATGGATAAAAAAACGATAGAAAACGGAAAGTTTAGTATGTCTAGATTTGCAGGTGATACGGCAGAAGTTTAGCTTCTAGCAAAGAGTGTGGTATGAAAATATATAAATGTTAGTATGCAAGGGAAGAACAAGTAAGGAAAGAGTGAATATAAAGATAGAAAATAAAAAATTAAAAGAAGTCGTTGATTTTCGGCATATAGAAAGTCAAATAATTCGAGATAAAAAGAGCAAACAAAAAAAAATACTTTTATGTTCGCGAACGGTTAACTAAGAAATTTGAAAAAGATTGTTAAAGGAGTGTGTCTGTCATGTCATGAAGACGAATGAAATCCCAGTCTGAAGGTCTACATAAAATTTAGAAATTTCCTAATTACGTGCATATATGTATCCAAGTAACGGAAAAACAGAGAACGAATCTTTCTTCGAAAAAACGAAAAAATAAAACAAAAAAAAAACCGAAACAATTATGAAATTAAGAAAAGTATGATGCAAACAGTTTGTGGTTTACCAATAATGTCAAGATCTTCCACGTTATGCGACAGAATATTGTTAAACATTAGCAACTAATAGCCTTTAAAATTGTTGCGGCATACAAACCGATGCATACATGAAAAGGTGCAATTTACAAAGCGAATAATTCGAAAACAAATGAGCTAACCGGCTAGAAATTCCTGGGACAGCAGCTTTTGCACTTTCCCTCTTGTTCAGGATGCCTACCGAAGCCAAGCCTAAAGACGGTAAAAGTCAAAACCTTGAAATAAAGTTCACATCCATTAAAACTTGTTCTGTTAAACACATACATAACTACATACGTATATAATATACGACATATTCACGTATTTTTGCGAATGTGTGCGCGATATATAAAAAATATACGTCATCGGAGAATACGAAGATTTTTGCCCTCAAGCGTCAAGATTCACGATAAAATTACCATTCGTCAAGCTCGATTTCCGAATCTAACTTTCAAATACGCGAAATTGATTTGAGGACTTCCGTACAACCAAACGCATACCAAGAAAAAAATAGATAAATGTAAAAGATAAGAAGAATCTGTAACATAAAATTAGCTACACACATTGCAATGTGCGTACGTTATAAAGAAACAGTGTACATACGATATAAGTTTCAAGCGGTTTAAAAATTAACGAAAAACAGTTTTAAAATCATTGCAGAGAAATAACTAGAAAAGCAACAATCGACGAACCTTTGCCAAATCCTTAAGGTGGTTGATAATAAATGATAATCAACAATAAAGACTTCAACATTTTTAATTCATTTTTGGGAACTTTTGAAATGGATGAGGTTTTAGAATTCCCTATTTAGAACATCCTAAGGATGTCATTCGTTGTTGGAAAGAAATTGCAATTTTCCTCGCCTACAAAGGTTGATATGCAGATATTTTTCATTAAAGGATTCAGGTGTTTACAGAGGTTATTTATCATACACTAGTGACCCGCCCCAGCTTCGCACGGGTGCAATGCTAATACTAAATATATTTTTGTTTTGTTTAGATTATTATTGAAAAGGGGAAATCTTCAAAAGATACCCCCTGAACATACTAAATATACTACAGAATGTCTTTATATACTACATTCAGTTTTTTTGTCATTAGACAATACAAACCGGCCTCCCGGCCGGTACCGCCGCAACCACTATGTCCCTGCATTTTAAATCTGTAATATCTTCGAAAATATTCATTTAAATTACATGCTGTAAAGGGCCATATTGATCTATATTAAATGCACAATGTATTTAAGGTACTTAATTGGATACAAATTAATGCTGTATTGCTTACAATCGCTTCGTAAATTATAAGTCATTATTTCTCATAAAAAGTAAAGGATAAAAATGGTTATTGTGGGTTATCCCTAAGAGATAGACATATATCATCCCGGACTTTTTTGTAGAGCCTTTTAAGATGTACAATATTGTAGTACATTATTTTGATCTATCTCGTAGGATTCAGCCAGCGTTTGCAATGTAAGCGCAAAAAATGTGTTTATTTACGACATCACATTAGAAATCTCTAAAATTATCAGTGTTTCCCTGCTATATTATGCATGTATTATACATATAAACCTTCCTCTCGAATAATTCCATCTTTTAAAAAAAACAGCATCAAAATCCGTTGCGTAGTTTTAAAGATTTAAGCATACATAGGGACAGACAGCGGGAAAGCGACTTTGTTTTATACTATGTAGTGATGAATTAATAGCATACCGAAGAAATGTCCAAATCAAACATGGCATTGATATAGATAGGAATTTCAGTGACTAAAGTCCAAAAACCCCAGTTTTGTGCCATATGGGTCAACAAGAGCGACCACAACGGTAACGATTTTAAGAAAGACAACCATGGTGTGCGAACATCCTACAAAAAAAAAGAAGCACAACATACAATTAGAAACATTTTTGGCATTAATTAGTGACAAAATTTCTTTGATTAGACATTTAGTATTGCTCTGTTTAGCAATGCCCTTGCTACAGATTTATGATTCTCTACCTTTGGTTCTTCTTTCTTTGAGAGGGAAGCCTCGATATAATCTCTTTCTTCGGGCCTTATCAGTTTGTGCTCTGATGGACTGTTGGCGCCTAGGAACAACCAAACTCCAACCCAAACCAATCCTAAACTGCCAAAAAAGTAAAAGGCAGAAGGCCACCCTAAGGGACTATTACAAAACCATCCCGTTATAGGCATGGATATGACTGTGCCAAAGGTAAAACCTGTGGGGAACATATTAATTAGATCAATTCATCTAGACGCATAAAAGGGGTGGTATAGTTAGCAATTCACGAAATCGGTATGGTTGATGATTAACATTAACAACGGGTTTGATCATAAAAGTAAAACACTTAGCAAGACTATGTCATGCTAGCAGATCACATATTCAATCCCCTCATCAGCAGATGCGAAATAGATTGTTCTTTGACCCCGAGACCAACTGAAACGATAATGTGATCGGCTGGCATAATATCAAGCTAACAGATCACTCAATTACTAGGAATCTATAGGATCTAGAAAATTAAAGCTTTTACTACAAAATATAATGCGAAATAGATCACTTATTGAATCTGAGATCGGTTAAAACGAAAATGTGATCGGCTGGCATAATATCAAGCTAACAGATCACTCAATTACTAGGAATCTATAAGCTCTAGAAAATAAAAGCTTTTACTACAAAATATAATGCGAAATAGATCACTTATTGAATCTGAGATCGGTTAAAACGAAAATGTGATCGGCTGGCATAATATCAAGCTAACAGATCACTCAATTACTAGGAATCTATAAGCTCTAGAAAATAAAAGCTTTTACTACAAAATATAATGCGAAATAGATCACTTATTGAATCTGAGATCGGTTAAAACGAAAATGTGATCGGCTGGCATAATATCAAGCTAACAGATCACTCAATTACTAGGAATCTATAAGCTCTAGAAAATAAAAGCTTTTACTACAAAATATAATGCGAAATAGATCACTTATTGAATCTGAGATCGGTTAAAACGAAAATGTGATCGGCTGGCATAATATCAAGCTAACAGATCACTCAATTACTAGGAATCTATAAGCTCTAGAAAATAAAAGCTTTTACTACAAAATATAATGCGAAATAGATCACTTATTGAATCTGAGATCGGTTAAAACGAAAATGTGATCGGCTGGCATAATATCAAGCTAACAGATCACTCAATTACTAGGAATCTATAAGCTCTAGAAAATAAAAGCTTTTACTACAAAATATAATGCGAAATAGATCACTTATTGAATCTGAGATCGGTTAAAACGAAAATGTGATCGGCTGGCATAATATCAAGCTAACAGATCACTCAATTACTAGGAATCTATAAGCTCTAGAAAATAAAAGCTTTTACTACAAAATATAATGCGAAATAGATCACTTATTGAATCTGAGATCGGTTAAAACGAAAATGTGATCGGCTGGCATAATATCAAGCTAACAGATCACTCAATTACTAGGAATCTATAAGCTCTAGAAAATAAAAGCTTTTACTACAAAATATAATGCGAAATAGATCACTTATTGAATCTGAGATCGGTTAAAACGAAAATGTGATCGGCTGGCATAATATCAAGCTAACAGATCACTCAATTACTAGGAATCTATAAGCTCTAGAAAATAAAAGCTTTTACTACAAAATATAATGCGAAATAGATCACTTATTGAATCTGAGATCGGTTAAAACGAAAATGTGATCGGCTGGCATAATATCAAGCTAACAGATCACTCAATTACTAGGAATCTATAAGCTCTAGAAAATAAAAGCTTTTACTACAAAATATAATGCGAAATAGATCACTTATTGAATCTGAGATCGGTTAAAACGAAAATGTGATCGGCTGGCATAATATCAAGCTAACAGATCACTCAATTACTAGGAATCTATAAGCTCTAGAAAATAAAAGCTTTTACTACAAAATATAATGCGAAATAGATCACTTATTGAATCTGAGATCGGTTAAAACGAAAATGTGATCGGCTGGCATAATATCAAGCTAACAGATCACTCAATTACTAGGAATCTATAAGCTCTAGAAAATAAAAGCTTTTACTACAAAATATAATGCGAAATAGATCACTTATTGAATCTGAGATCGGTTAAAACGAAAATGTGATCGGCTGGCATAATATCAAGCTAACAGATCACTCAATTACTAGGAATCTATAAGCTCTAGAAAATAAAAGCTTTTACTACAAAATATAATGCGAAATAGATCACTTATTGAATCTGAGATCGGTTAAAACGAAAATGTGATCGGCTGGCATAATATCAAGCTAACAGATCACTCAATTACTAGGAATCTATAAGCTCTAGAAAATAAAAGCTTTTACTACAAAATATAATGCGAAATAGATCACTTATTGAATCTGAGATCGGTTAAAACGAAAATGTGATCGGCTGGCATAATATCAAGCTAACAGATCACTCAATTACTAGGAATCTATAAGCTCTAGAAAATAAAAGCTTTTACTACAAAATATAATGCGAAATAGATCACTTATTGAATCTGAGATCGGTTAAAACGAAAATGTGATCGGCTGGCATAATATCAAGCTAACAGATCACTCAATTACTAGGAATCTATAAGCTCTAGAAAATAAAAGCTTTTACTACAAAATATAATGCGAAATAGATCACTTATTGAATCTGAGATCGGTTAAAACGAAAATGTGATCGGCTGGCATAATATCAAGCTAACAGATCACTCAATTACTAGGAATCTATAAGCTCTAGAAAATAAAAGCTTTTACTACAAAATATAATGCGAAATAGATCACTTATTGAATCTGAGATCGGTTAAAACGAAAATGTGATCGGCTGGCATAATATCAAGCTAACAGATCACTCAATTACTAGGAATCTATAAGCTCTAGAAAATAAAAGCTTTTACTACAAAATATAATGCGAAATAGATCACTTATTGAATCTGAGATCGGTTAAAACGAAAATGTGATCGGCTGGCATAATATCAAGCTAACAGATCACTCAATTACTAGGAATCTATAAGCTCTAGAAAATAAAAGCTTTTACTACAAAATATAATGCGAAATAGATCACTTATTGAATCTGAGATCGGTTAAAACGAAAATGTGATCGGCTGGCATAATATCAAGCTAACAGATCACTCAATTACTAGGAATCTATAAGCTCTAGAAAATAAAAGCTTTTACTACAAAATATAATGCGAAATAGATCACTTATTGAATCTGAGATCGGTTAAAACGAAAATGTGATCGGNCGATACGTTCGTTGGTAATTATAATGTAGCATTGCGCGCCTATTTATTTTAGTTTAAACTACAACTAATTAAATAAAAAAAACTTACCCAAATGCTCTTTTAATTATGCTTCGTTTAGTTGCCTTTGCAGTTCATTAAGGCTGGAAAAAGGGAAAATCAACAATGAGAAAAAATATATCCAAAATATAGGCAGATACCTAATTATAAATAAAACAATATTATTCTGTCTATAACAACTAATTATCACACAACTATTTTCTATTTCATTTTCTTTTTTCAGTTTGTTAGTACTACCTATGATATGGACCGAGTCATGGGGAACTCCCGTCCAGGATTCGTCGGACAACACAGCGGCTTTTGTACAAGTATCAGAAATCGCAGGCGCTCGGCCGTTGTCGCGTAAAGAGAAAAAATCAACGATTAGTCAAGAAAAATCTTTCGAGACGTCCCATAAATTACCCTCCACCCTTACCTACCTCATAAATGAAGAGCAGAGGCGAAGAAAAAGAGCAGCTAAAGCTGCAGACTCACCCGCACCTGCTCCTGCTGGTTCTATCAGGCTGGATGTCAAAAAACTTATCGAAAGGTATTTACAATTAGTAAACCAAGTACAGTAGAATCGCTTTAAGTCGAACCTCGATAAGTCGAAAACCTTCAAAACTCGAAAAAATGTTTTGTTCCCTTCCCTTAAAGCCCCAAAACCTCCATTACTCGAAATCTCAACCCTCCCTTAGTCGAAATAATCAGTGAGTCCCTGCAACCCATTTTGGTACATATTTTCCCTCTATAACTCGAAAAATTAAATTGGATTTCTGTATCTCGAACAGTCAAAATCCTCCATAAGTCGAAAACTCTTATCACTCGAATTTCTTGGCGTTTCCCTTGATTTTCGAGTTATAGAGGTTCCACTGTATTAGAAATATAAAAAAAGTATTTGACGCATGATACGGCCTTTAAAAATAGTTGCAGTTATGGATAAAGTACGAAACAGCTAGTTTTGCCTGTTTACTTGTACGGGTTAGTCTTCGAAACATCCGGGACTTTACAGACAGAAGAAGAGGTTGTCAGGAGTAGTGTTATATACTTTTTTTAAATTGATTATTAGGTATAACAATTAATCATAATATAATATTTCACGCGGGTAAAGTCGCTGGAAAAAGCTAGTCTTAAATAATTATTCAAAATGTGCTTTCTGTTAAGATTAACGAAAGAACAATGTTTTGTTTCAATTTTCTTGAATTAAAAATCTTAAATCATATAAAAGAAGAACAATATAAATCATATTCCGCTTGTAAACGTAAATGTCATTTATTATAATTATTTCGGAATCTTTTTAGTCGCGTTGATGGTTCANTTTTTTTTTTAGAATACTTAAAAATCGGTACCAGTGTACTGGATAAATTTAATAAGTGTTTTGGCGAGAATAATTTTTTTTTATTTTAAGAAACAATCGCATTTTGAAGCGTTGACAGTAAAATTTTAACATGAAACGGAAGCTGCGTGCGCATAGCTTACGAAAATTCGATGGTATGAAGTATTTGCTGATTTACGAGAATTTGCACCCCGGCCAGTGGGGACAGCACTACACGATTACATAACAAATACATAATTATTATTATGTATCAACTGTAAGCCAACATAGAGTTGTATTTCAAAATATTTCGGCTTCTAATCAGTCACGTACTTAACTGTACGAAAAGGTTACGGTAGAAATATTTCATTATTAACGCAACCTGAGGTCTGAAGTTTTTTTAATACAACTGCAGAGTTGTTGATAAATTAACTTAGAGGTAATAAGTGTGTACACACTTGTAAGTAACTGAATTGCCACGTGCTTCGACAAAATATCACCTCACAAAGAAAGAAAAACCAGCTAGCTACTGCATTATGCAAGAGCGAGCTTTCTTTGGTTTATCGAAGTCCACTAACTCGTATGGGCATTTAGGCTTACAGAATTTCTAGTCACATTACATCAAATTCTCGAAGAGAAACCGTTTCGGGAGCAAACGCCATCCACATTTTAATCGCGACGACATGTTATATGAATTTTAATTAAGTACCTAGTCATTTATAACTACAACGAAATTTCGCAAAGAAACATACTATAATACCTATACGTATGTATAATTAAATATCTTATCGTTTGTTTGGAGTTTGTACAGCATCATCACTTTTCAGTTAAAAATTGTGACAAAAAAAACAGAAAAGACTTTATCGATTTAAATGTTTTAGAATAAGGGTTTGTAGTTCAGTTCATCCGACTTTATTAAGCGATATAAAACATATATTGCAACCCTAATTTGCAGAAACAGAATAGCCGAAAGTACATTCTGGAATTAGCTGACTATTAAAACGTCTAATTAAAACATCGAATTGTATCATATACCTACTTCTAATATTGAAAATGAATCTTTATTTTTTAAACCTATTTTAATTTTGGAATTCGTTTATTGTGATTGATCATATATTGACCAACCGCTTAATATGAAGTAATTGCAGTGTTAAGTTTGGTTTTCATATTAAATTCTCTATAGGAAAGTTTGGATATAATGACTCCGTTAAAAATGAAATATCGTTTATTATGACTGATTCTCAAGAAACCATATCCGGCTATAGTGACCCAAATGGTTAATAATAACATTTTCGCTCATTTTTCTGACCCTTCTTATGTATATTGATATTACAATTCATCGTTCTGCTTTTTCTGTTAATAAATATATACAATTTGTAGTTTTTCTCTCTATTAAACTAAATANTAGTCAAGAAAAATCTTTCGAGACGTCCCATAAATTACCCTCCACCCTTACCTACCTCATAAATGAAGAGCAGAGGCGAAGAAAAAGAGCAGCTAAAGCTGCAGACTCACCCGCACCTGCTCCTGCTGGTTCTATCAGGCTGGATGTCAAAAAACTTATCGAAAGGTATTTACAATTAGTAAACCAAGTACAGTAGAATCGCTTTAAGTCGAACCTCGATAAGTCGAAAACCTTCAAAACTCGAAAAAATGTTTTGTTCCCTTCCCTTAAAGCCCCAAAACCTCCATTACTCGAAATCTCAACCCTCCCTTAGTCGAAATAATCAGTGAGTCCCTGCAACCCATTTTGGTACATATTTTCCCTCTATAACTCGAAAAATTAAATTGGATTTCTGTATCTCGAACAGTCAAAATCCTCCATAAGTCGAAAACTCTTATCACTCGAATTTCTTGGCGTTTCCCTTGATTTTCGAGTTATAGAGGTTCCACTGTATTAGAAATATAAAAAAAGTATTTGACGCATGATACGGCCTTTAAAAATAGTTGCAGTTATGGATAAAGTACGAAACAGCTAGTTTTGCCTGTTTACTTGTACGGGTTAGTCTTCGAAACATCCGGGACTTTACAGACAGAAGAAGAGGTTGTCAGGAGTAGTGTTATATACTTTTTTTAAATTGATTATTAGGTATAACAATTAATCATAATATAATATTTCACGCGGGTAAAGTCGCTGGAAAAAGCTAGTCTTAAATAATTATTCAAAATGTGCTTTCTGTTAAGATTAACGAAAGAACAATGTTTTGTTTCAATTTTCTTGAATTAAAAATCTTAAATCATATAAAAGAAGAACAATATAAATCATATTCCGCTTGTAAACGTAAATGTCATTTATTATAATTATTTCGGAATCTTTTTAGTCGCGTTGATGGTTCAATGAAAGTTACTCAATTTCGTTTTATGAAAATTTTCTCACAATACACGATTCGCAACAGAAAAAAATATTACGACTAAGCAGTAACCACTATGAAATTTAGCAGATTTACGTTATTTCCTTTTTCGGTAATTATTCAATAGATTACTACTATAAAATTATTTAATTCCCAGAACAGAGTCAATACAGCGGTAAAATAACTAACCGCTAAAAACAGTGGCATAATTAGCAACAGGTATGACGGACGGCTTGTTTGCATAAATTACCAATTTTTTCGATTTCCAATAAAATATTTTGATATCTACAAATTTATCGGACATAAACAGTAAAAAATATATAAATACACATAAAACATCCATAACTCTTTTAAAGAATTCTGCAGCAATTTAAGCCTATACATAGATACTTGTTTTCCAGATGAAGCCATTTTTTCTTCCAAAAAATTAAAATTTCAGTTTAACTGGGCACCTAAATGAAGTTGTATAGTAAGTTAGATTTCAGTACAAAAGAAAATCTGTAGACCCAATAGTTCTCGTTTAATTTCAAAAAAGAGAAAAACCAGAAAGCTGTATTTTTGAAAAATTTGTCGATAAATAGTCCCCAATAAGATACAAAAGAAAAAAAAATTGTCGGTACTTTTAAAAAATACTGCGTCTCTTGTTAACTTGATAAGCGAAAAACATCTAAAGCGATTGTTAAAAAATAATTTTTTATCATGGCATTTCATGAAATTGTGACAAATAAAGTCTTATCCTCTCTAACGTTTTGCTATAAATTCCCAAAAAGTCACTTCTTTTGCGAATAGATAGGTAAATTTCATTGTAGAAACCTCTCAAAGTACACAATTAATCTGTCCGGAATTTTCCTATTTTCCCGACATAATTGTGGACTGTGGGAATTTTCCGCATTGAAATTTCCCAACATATTCGCAAAAGAAGTGACTTTTTGGGAATTTGCAGCAAAACAGCAAGACTTTATTGGTCGCAATTTTGTGTAATGCCATTGTATTATGGCAAATTAACAGTAAATTCCTATCTGGCTAATTCAATTGTCAAAAATTACTTTTTAATAACAATCGCCTTAAGTCTTTCGCTAACTTTATATCAAGTTATTAAAACATACAATATTTTTTAAAAAAAAGAAACAACAATTTTTTTTTTCACAACTAATAGAGACTAATTAGAGACAAATTATCATTCGAAATATTTTCCTCTTAATTCGCTCAAATAGATCTTTAAATTAATATTACACAAAAAATGTCAATCAAATTCAAACTTGGCGGGTATTTTTATCAATTACTATACATTATATAAAACATACTAAGAAGGATGCTCTTCTGACATTCACATTTTAGAGAGGCATCACCGCTGGAAGAAGGACTACAAATCATTCAGTTATTTTCTTAGAAACTCATAACGCTAGTGAATGTAAACTACATTAATAAGTATATTATGCGCATTCCTGACTTAATCGATAGGTTCCTTTCCTTTTCTTTATAATACCTACTGTTATCGTTTAAAAAAGCAATTACATAAGGAAACTACTTACTATTACGCCAGTTGAATAATACATAAAAAAAACAGCTAAAATCTCAAAGAGTTATGTTTTGATATGTTGTTATGATCAAACTAACGCGGACCGAAATTTTAAATTTTTTTAAATCGACTTTTTAATTAAGGTGATAGGTTAAAAGCTGTCCTTTTATATGTTGATATGACATTGACATTAGAGATTAGTGATTTTTCAGGGCACGGGATAACTGAGTACCCGGTATTAGTTGTACCAGGTATTCGTTTCTTATTTGGAATAATTAATATGAGGTTTCATGTCTAACGCATCGTTGATATCTCCGTTGTAATTTTATAATATCTGGATTTTATCGAAAAGATGCGGCTATATAAACTATTAAATGGTTTAGTATCATCATTAAGCTTTTGACTGTCAATAATTGTATATATTCCTATCCATTTATAACTAAAAAATATCTAAATCAGAAATTACAAAATCAAAATTTCGTGTATTGTTAAAAAAAGAGCATCGGAAAAATATCATTAGAGTGTAATGTTTTAATTGTTTATAACGTTTATCACTTTATTTAGTAAGTTTCAAAATTGACTTATTATCGAATTATGTATTATGGCACGAACGTCATCAGTTTTGTTGTAGTTTTAAACCATGAAATTATTACAGTAAGAGATTAAATATGAATTAAAATAGTTTAATACATTTGCAAGTTATACAGTAAAACTACTGGCTTATTTTGAAAACACGCTCGTTTCTTTATTCGGAATAATTAGTATGAGGTTTCGCGTCTAACCCATCGTTGATCTCTCCGTTGTACTTTTGAAATGTTTGAGTTTTATCAATAAGATACGGCTATGTAAGCTATTATATAAGAATAATTTAGTATCATCATTAAATCAATAATTTTTTGTTATTTTTAGTCATTTAAAACTAAAAAGACACTCAAATAAGAAGTTATAAAATTAAAATCTCGTGTATTGTAATAAAAAATATGAACGTTTAAGAACATTTGAAATACAAACAATATATTTATGGAATATAATGCTTTTATTGTTTTACGTTTATCACTTTACTTTGTGCCCATCAAAATTGGCTTATTATGGAGTACGTCATCGGTTTTGTTCTGTTTTAAGCCATGCAGTTTTTAGACACGCACCTCCACTCTTTCCTATCCTGAGCTAAGTTTCGCATTTCCATAAAATTAGAACATCCCACATCTTTAACTATTTGCGAACAGTAATCTAACCCAGGTCTACATCTACTCCTTAACTCCTGTTTCTGCCTCTAATATGTCTCTGACTAGCCCTTCATGTCTAAGGTGTCCTACTAATCTTAAATTTCTTTTTGACTTCCATAGAGTCCTCTGTTCTCCTATTCTTTCTAATACCTCTTCATTTCTAACCTTCTCTATCCACGGTATCGTCATTATTCGCCTATAACACTACATTTCGAACGTTTCTAACCTTTTCTTTTCTGTCGCGCCCACTGTCCATGTTTCGCACCCGTTCAGCGCCGTTCTCCAAACATACACCTTTAACAACCTTTTTCGAATTTCTAAAGTAACCATTCGCGAGCATAGAAGTGAAAAAGTTAATTATCGATAAATATCTATAACAATTAAATAACTGATATAAATTAACAATTACCTTCGTCAAAGATATACCTAATAAATAAACAAAGCCGTTTGTTAAGGATTATTGAAAGTGGTAAGGACAGATATTACAAAGCACGTAGAAGTCAGGAAGCAAGGCCGTTAGCAGCATTACAATTCTAATCATTCGTTCTTACTATTTAACAAGCTTATGTAATTACTGTTGCAGGAAATATATGTCTGCATTTATAAATAAGCATGAATCGATTGTAACTGTAAAATGTCGAGTTAATCGGGCAGCTATTTATTGTAATTCTATTTAAATTCGGTTACGACTTTGGTCACAACATTCTTACACTATACAGTGTAAATATACGGATAAATGTCTTTAAGTCATTAATTCTATTGCTAAAATATGGAAATAACGGAATAAAGATGAGAGGCCCCAAACAAAAACTAAAAAGTTTGACGGTAAAACAGACTCAAAATTTCTCTAACTTGAGCATAATTAGTTGCATTTAGGATCTACGAGTTTGATTGTATTTTAAAAAATTTAAACAAATTTCTATTCCGTTCAATTCGTTTACCACGAAAAGATTACAAAAACGTTTCCGTTGAGCCGTGACCATCAGCGATTCCGTTCTCATTCATTTAGTAATTGTTAGTATTAATTAAACAAATTGCTGCTGTTAAACTCACTCTCTTTGTTTTATTTTGTAATAGAATTAAATTACATTAAGAGATCATGTAACTTTTTTATAAGTATCGAGAAAAGTTTCTAAAAACACTGACAATCAATCTTAGTTCTTTGTATTGAGTTTACATAATTGTCAAACACTTTTTTTAGATACCAGGCCCAATTGAAGACCAGTACGACAGAAAAACCTAAGACTAAAAAATCGCCTGCAACGTCAGCGTCATCTAACAACAAGCGAATAAAAAAAGACGTCGAGCCTACTGACTCAAGTATAGTTTTGACCACGGGGAAACCCGCAGCTGCAAGAAGCCTCGACCTTGAAAACGTTCCCCTTCAAGCAAGCGGAAGTGGTAAACAAAAGTAAGTTAGCACAAAGATTTTGTTGAAAATTAAATTTTAATTTCAATGCTACATCAAGTGAGTAACCAACCCCCAACGTTAATTTTTAATTTAATCATATTCCAGTTCACGAATCCAAATCAAAAAGGGACCTAATGGACAAGAATACGAATATGAATACGTGTACTATTACTACGACGACGAAGAAGACGCTGGTAAAACCGAAAAGAAGGAAAAGAAGGACAAGTTCACAAACGCCCACGATGGACCCCAACCGAATCAAATTCCTACAACTAAAGAAACCAAACTTGAAAAAAGCAAGTACAAAGAAGCCGCAAACGAAGTGATACCTCAAACCACGAGAGCGGGTATGAAACTTCATCAAAATTCAATGTACTTTTGCATAACGTCATTATCAGGAGCGTACTTAGGACGTTAAGATGCTATTTGTGCAAGTACATGTGCGTCTCATGTCACATGTACCGTTTTACATATCCAGTCGCGCATCTATTACAAAGAACAGTCTTTGTCGACTTATAGTTCTTCGGCTTATAAAATTTTGACCGTCGGCTTAAGTACGGACCTTCTATATGCGAGCACCGTTCGCTGCTTACAAATAAGTACCCCGCTAATACGAACAACTAACGTAGACATACAAAGACTTTGCAAGTGCAGTAGTAGACTGGTCAACCCGCCACGACCTCTTCCATATTCGTGGACGGGTCAATACTTATGACATAAACACAATTTCTGAATAACTTTACAGCACCTGACCATGCATTTTTAATTTTCTATTTGATAACATTTTTGATTATTTTCAGGTTCCAGAGGAAAAAATATTAGACAATTAGAGGCAGAAGGGTCGGTTGATGAGGAAAGATTACCAGCCAATCCTCGCTTTCCACCCCGAGGCAATCGTAACCTTGAAGAAGACGCTTCAAGTATCGAAGAAAACGAAGCTAAACCATCAACTCCCAGGGGTAGGGGACGATCAACTACCACAACAGAATCCCCAGTAGAGAGCGATAACATCTCTGAAGAAAGTCAGGTATTTAATTTCAAATCAAAAGATACTTTTCCAACTACGGTGACTTGTAAATAACTAAACGGAGTTACAGAAATCTGTCTAACGGGACCGGAATGGCAATTTTAATATTTTTGAAAGATAAAAAAACGTGAGTCTAATAGATGCCATAACAATTAGATACCTTTAAAACAATAGTACATACAATTAAAAAAAAGTAGAATTTCATACAACTGAAACCTTGGTTGGGGTCTTACAGTATACAGCAGAAAAACCTCTTTTTTCAAAATTAAACCCTATGCGATTTTTATGAATATTTTTACCCAAAAAATTCATCAATGTTATGTCTAACGAAGGATCATTCGACATTAAAAAAAAGCATAAATCGAAAGAACGGAGCAAATGAGAACCCCAAGTTACTATTGCCGTAATTATATCAACCAAACTTGTGGTACTTACAATTACAAGTTTTTCATATTAACCAGAATGTATGTAAAGCAAACTGCGAATCGTGAATCTACGTATGCCATTTTTATTCTAAACCTACTCACTCAATGAGTTCTACACGGAGAAAATGAAAAATAAAAATTTACCTTAATATTAAAGCGATATTTACAACTTACCCCACTTAGCCCACTAGAAAATAATAAAAATTACAATTTGGACCCGAATTTGTAAACCTAAAATCCCAGCAGAAATAAATTTACTAGGTATTTTAGTTGATATTACAAATTTAATTGTAATAATTAAGAAACTTGAAGTAATTTTTAAAGAAACATATTAAAATTGAGATAATTGCAAGTTGCCTAATAAGTTCTACTATTTCTACGACAAATTCAGTCATTTGCAATCGAAAATTGGAATTTTCGCGTTGGCATAAAAATTTAGTTTTATTCGAGTAGGTTTAAAATGAATTTAAAAATTTCGACTTAGGAGAGCAAGAATAATAGTTTATCATTTTATATGCCGAGTTAATATACGAATTTCATAAGGATTAGCTCATAAAAAACGATAACATATTGTCACAGACTTATTATTATTATTAGGGAACTAGGGATAGGACACGGGCAAATGTACGTGGTCCGTCTTTAGAACTAGTGGACAGCGCCAGTTTTAATACTCATACGGGTACAGCAGGAGCGGAACTTCCTGGTTCGGGTCCCTCTTTCCCTTCAGAACTTCCGTCCGGTCCTGTTAGATTTTTAGGGGCTACCCCAAATGAAAAAAGCGACAAAGAGGTAAGTAATGAGCTTATTATTTTTTGCATTGCGATACTCTGGCTTATTTTATATATTAACAATCGCTAACACAAGTTAATTTTTGTTCGTTGTCGCTAAAAATAACATTCGCATGATGATGCATTATTTAACCGACACTTACTTTAAACACACCTACAGAACAAACTAAACAAACATAAAGTTCATTTCATAATGATTATTAAGTTGTATAGAAAATTATTTTCATCTATCGCCTATGGACAAAGCTGTCCTTTTTTATGCATTGCTACCAGCTGAAAATTCTTCGTATTTGTAAAATGCTCAAGGTGGTGTAGGTATAAATGCCAAACGAAGTAGCACGTAGATAGAGAAGCACAAGGGGCACGTAGAAGGAAAGGTCATCAGTTATCATTATTGGTAGATTTTTAAAACATCTGTATTGGTTTTGACATAGAAAGTATTGGACATATCAAACTGATTCATAAAATCCTTTACGGAGACGGTCACTCAATTAGTACGTACGTTTTTTTTCTGGGAAAAACTCAGAAAATAAGAGGAAATTGTAAATGTGGAGGTCATCAAGGCTTACTTGACTTTTTAGTTTTTCGAATGTTTATCACGCTAGTAGCTTACACAATCAACCCCATTGTAATAAATTTGTAATGAAAGAATTGATTCTGTAAAACCTATTGATTTCGGGAAATCCTGTAATCTGCTGTAAGCTTGACATTATGCTAGCAGATCCTATATCCCTTTAAGCCGATCTCTGATTGACATCATATTTTGTAGCTAATTTGAAGTGAATTTATTGTGAAGGAATTAATTTTTTTGAACTTCCGGTAAATCAGATGATCTAATGTTAGCTACTGATTTCATATTCGTTTCAGTCGATTATACTGATATCATAATTGTTGAATAATTGTGAGTTTGTGTGTAATGTAATATCTTACCAGCAGATCGTCTGATTTCTCGAGATTCATATTAAGCTCTACAAGATTAAGCCTTTCGCAACAAATTTACTACAAATACTTGTATGTTTGAAAGCGAGGGTTGAGCAGGAGATCTCCTGGAATGATACACAAATCGACAAAAAAGTTGCTTCTTTGATATACGACGTACTGAGTTCGTCAATGAAAATTAACCTGTTGCTTGATGATAGGAAATTACCTCTCATATTTGCGAAGGATTTTATGAATCAGTGCTGAGTTGAAAATTTCAAAAATGAGGTATTCAAATGAAAACATAGGGGTTTGGTGAGTAGATTATATCAAGCAAGTAATTGTGGAGCCTTCGGATGATGAACTTGTATAGTATATCATAAATAGATCGAGTCGGGCTTTAAATTAGCACGCTTTCTAGTATGTAGAAGGAAAAGTATGCTAGCACAAAAATGGGTAAAAGTTCGAAATTTGTAAATCTACTGTAGTAGCTAAATAGTGTGCGAAATCAATTGTTTTCTAGTCACAAATAGAGGTCGAAGGTCAAGAAGAAACATCGGAAACGACAAGCGGAAAATACGAGTCTCAAACAAATGAAAGCAATACTGAGACGGAAACAGTAAGTGACGATACCACAACTTTGGTGATGGACAAGGTTGCTTTAGACCTATACGCTATATTGCAAGGAACGCAGAAATTATCAGGAGAAGCGGTTAGTAGTAGGTCTAAATACGGAAAAAAAAGAAAAATACAAACAAAACAACAAAAAATTACTCGATAAAGACATTAACATCAAAATAACCTTAAAGTGTTAACTTGACGCTTTTCACAACTTTGGTACTGGTGTGGACAATTTATTTTTTGAATAATAATTTTCATTAAAAACAACTCCCTAAAAAAAATAGTCATTTAAATGAGTACTTTGGAATAATTTAAAATAGCAAAAGATATAAGCTGATATTTTCAAATACTGATGCGTTTGGACATAACTTTGGCAAATATTACAAACAAATTGAAAAATATCTACGTATGCAATATGTGCTTTAAGAAATATTTGCTTTTCTGTTGTGATTAATATTAGATAATTAATACATACTTGCTTTCATTTCAAAGTTTAATTTTCTTGGAATAACAGTCTAGGTAATTATTTACTATTTATTTCTTAAACGATTAAAAACTAATTCAAACGCTCCAAAAAAACATGACTTAAGCTTTGAGAAAACGACGAGAAGATAAAAAAGCAAAAGTGCTCAACTTCAATAAATTATGAATATTATTTTTCAGAAACTATAAGTAACACCTAATGCCAAAGATTAATAAATAACAATCCATTCGTATAAAAATCCTGTTATTTAATAGCTTTAATTTCCTTAAATGTGTAAAATGCGCTTTGTGTCCTTTAATTTTACTAACGAAAAACAAAGATTAACGGCAGTCTAATTGTACAACAAAACATGTGCTAAATGCATAATAACTACAATATTTTTTGTCTGCAAGAACGATAATCATCATCAGCAGCTGCTGTTGCCATGTCATTATTTCGTTTAGCTAGTTTTCTTTTTCGCATTTGAAGGACTACTAAACGGAAAGGTGTTAATAACAACTCTTTTTTGATACTCTCACTTTCTATCCCTACAAATAATGACGGCCTCACTTTTCTCTGGACTACTTTTGACTATTTTTACAGTCTAGAAGAAAGGTGTACGAAGAAAAGAGAATTCGATAAAAAGTGGTACATGACAATTCAACTATAAAACAATTTTTTGCCTCACAATTAAATTAATAATACAGGGTGTTTATGTTTTGAAATTCATGGGAATTTTAAAGCTAACGTTTCTATTAAAAGACTCCCGATATGTATTTATAAATGATGCAAATTTTAATTGCAGCGATTAAATCTCGCATTGAGCTTTAGTTTTAATTTTGTAAGACAAATAAAAATTACCTTTTTTCAATATACTTACTGCCATCTTTATAAATATTATTTTAATTTGTACGATAAAAGACTTAACAAATATATACTCAAATATTAGAAAAATTAAATTTAATTCAACGAATAAAAAGTATGGTATGTAATATATTACTTTCTTTTTAANGAAAACATTTTGAAAATTAATGTACACAGAACAACATTAAACAAATTTGGTATCTTTCAGCAGAAAATTACTTTTAGTTTTATTAATTTTTTTTAAAGCTGTTAAACTACCAAATTTTTATCAAAATTACATAATCATTTATTCTTATTACTACAAAATAATAATCACCTTCCTCATATTTCCATCAATAATTGTAAATACATTTTTACCTAAAATAAAAGAAAATTAAAAATTGCTTTGAATAATCACAAGTAACCCGAACCGATTCAACCCAGGAGTCAGATACGGACGACGCTACAAATGAAGCTCCTACAACCCCTGAAGAAGCTAGTTCGACTACAACGACCACCACTACTACGACTACAACCACAACTACCCCCGCTCCAACTACCACCACAACAACCACAACTGCAGCACCTGAACCATTATTTGGTCGCAATAAGTTCCGCGGACGAAACGGTGTCCGGAAACATGGCTCCACTTCAACGACTTCATCCCCCAGTACAGAATCCGGTGATAGCAAACCCAAGAATCGCTTTAGCAGACCCAGCTTTGGATCTAGGGCCAAAACTCGTCCTACCACATCTGAACCTGCTCATGAATCAGAAATTGCCAAAGAGGATTCCAAGCAAGTGACCAGCAAAGCCAGTAAAGTAAGTGCTCGAAACTAAAGAAATAAAGAACTTAATAGCACATATCTGATATTTAAATTTTAGCCCACCCCTGGACGTACACGTTTTGGGACAGGAAGAACTCGTCCCAGCACTACAACCCACGCACCTTCGGAGGAAAAAGATTCATCTGCAACCAGAGCATCTCCAAGTAGACCTAGACCCACATTCAGTGCTCGAGGGCGAGGTAGAAGTACGACCTCAGCACCTGCAGAAGGCGAATCACCCGCAGAATCGTCCGCAACATCAGAAGGTTCCAGTACCACAGCTCGATCTGTAAGACCACGACTTACGCCTGGAGGAGGAGCTGTAAGACCACTAAGACCTGGGCCCAGAATTAACATCGCAAGAGGAAGACCTGGTGCATCTACCACTACAACTGCTGCACCTGCAGAAGCTGCTGAAGACACGGAGGTTGAAAAGGTCAAGGAGGAAACTCAGACAGACCAAGAAAAGGTATGTTACGCAATTTTATATGCCTTTGTAGATGTTAGTATGAGTTTTTATTGAATTAGGAAGGAGAATCGTCTTCAGCGAGCACACCTGAAGACAACAGTCCAATAAATAAGCTGCGACACAGGCAACGTTTAAACGTTAACCATAATAAACCAAAAGCTGCAGCAGCTAGTGCCCCCGTTCAAGTAAGAAGAATAAACCCCTTACTCAACAGACGAAAACTAGGTCAAACTGAACCAACTTCAAGCGAAGCTCCTAAAGAGGAACACCTTTCAACAGAGGCAGCAACCGATAATGAAGAAGCAACGGATGAAGCTGAAATAGCCACTTCTAGCACCACAACTACGGAAGAGCCACGAGGACTCAGCAAACTGTTAGCGGGGAGAAAAAGATTGGCATCGCGACAACCAGCAACCAAGAATTAGATATTTAAAGGTATCAATACAAGTGAGATCGACAACTTATTATGTACCTACCAATAAGAACTGATTTTTAATACATTGTCATCAATAACAAACCACAGTCACTCGTTAAGTATCACCAGGAAACGTAATTAAATAGTGATTATTACTTAGTATGTACATAAATGCCTAGGTATTAAATACGGAATTGTGGCACTTACACAAAAGTATATTTAAAAAAGTATCTCCAAGTTTGACGCAAAGAAATAATAGATAGTTACGTAAAAAATAAACTATTAAAACAGTCTTCTAATACATAAATTCAAAAACAATTCCAATCGGTTGCCAAAAGTAAGGTTAATTCTAAGTATGACTCATTGCAAACTAAAACATTCATGTTTTAATTATCTTACCTGTTCAGGCATAATAATAGTTATAAAAACAATTTCACTAATACTTCACTGTTTGTTTAGAGTACTTTGTACAATTAACATCAAAATTACAAAAATCCACATTTTCACTTTCAAAAATCACAAACAACCTTAAAAACGAGTATGCATGTATGCAACAGTGTAACCATAGATAATAGAGTGTAACTTCCATAGATACATCATAGATAAGAATATGAAGATGAGTAGAACCTTTCAAATTTAATCAGCTGCTTAAAGTTAGGACAAACGCATGCACAATTCACATAAATTGTTAAAATGTTGATTTACCAGCAATTAACAATAATCGCAATAATAAATACACTAATATGAGAGTGAATCTTAGGCGTGTTGCTTTAATACATTTTTGATACAAAAATTACAATAAACGTATTTCTTTGCCTTACCCAAACTGATAGGTACTTTATATAAAGTTTTTGTAATATTGTGAATAGTTAATAATTATTAATAAAAAGATAAAAAAACAGATCACACTGTATTTTACTTTTTAAACACCTCACAGAAAAATAAATTTAAATCGCCAGTAAAATGTGGCTCCCAGCTTGTAGCAGCAACAAATCGTAAAGTATATACACGGTGTTGATTTATAAAAATTTAGATTGAATCAATGGATAATCTTACTTATCGGACATTTTTTTTACTTTTAAATTGTTGACGAGTTTTTCAACTTCTAACTTAGTAGATCAATATAATTTTTTGTCATTATTACATATTTGTTTAAACGAACTTTTTTACGTCAATCTACTTTATTGTCAACATTTTACGTATAATACTACATAAATAGAGTATTTACAAACACAGTATATAATGTATTTAAAATTTGATTAATAAATTGCCAGTTGCTGTAATATATTTATATATGTATGTATATTATAGTACAATGTGAAAATTGTCCTCTTTTTAACATTTACCACAACTTTTAATAAATACACCTTTTACATTGATATGAAAAATTGTATGGCATAATATTATACAATTAGTTCTATATCTTTTTTTGTTTATCATACGTTTACGCGAAATAATAAGAAACTTGCATTGTACAGGAAGATAGAAACACGTTATATACGTAGATACCCTGCATGTTTTTGCCAGATATGCAAAAATAACAAAGGGAAAGGGTGGTAACAACAAATGTTGCAATTTTTTTTCATTTGGTCCCAGATCTCAAAAATTAAACATTAGTCCCTAGGAAAACACCCCACCTGAACTTTTATAAGTCCAAAGGGAAGATAAACATAATGAAAACATTTTGAAAATTAATGTACACAGAACAACATTAAACAAATTTGGTATCTTTCAGCAGAAAATTACTTTTAGTTTTATTAATTTTTTTTAAAGCTGTTAAACTACCAAATTTTTATCAAAATTACATAATCATTTATTCTTATTACTACAAAATAATAATCACCTTCCTCATATTTCCATCAATAATTGTAAATACATTTTTACCTAAAATAAAAGAAAATTAAAAATTGCTTTGAATAATCACAAGTAACCAAAAATGATGACCTGGGACCAAATTAGTACGCGAGAATGTACATATTTCTGGTTAATAGATTGTACTTTACATTTATTGCAAGATAGGTGAAATATACATCTATTTATTATTTAAACAACGCTCTTCAATAGCTAATAGGTGAGAAAATGAACAATATTAAAAATGAGCAGTACAGAAAATATTATCTGTAATTTGTATCCTATATGCTTGCCTATATAAAGAAAAACTAGAATAAATAATAAAACAAAATATTTGCATCTTATCTACAATTTGTACTATTCCGTTTTATGGAAAAACATTAACCTTGCAATAATATAATTCGTATTGAGCACACTGATATTATTATGTATGTATAATAATCTACCTTGAATTTGAATGCATTAATGTACGGCTCATTTTTAGTAAATTTTTATTTATTTAATTGGACGTAAATTTCTCTCAAAATCTTCAGCATTTTGCTTTTCATACTTTCATACTAAAGTAATTAATCCTTTTAACCTTTTGGGCACTAATTACCAAAAATGGTTTATTATTCACAATACGATCGTATTAGCTATTTAATAAATAAATGCGCAAAACTATAAGGTGTTAAATATCTTAACACCATGCTTTAAATGGAAAATTAGTTGTTTGATATGTTATAATTATTACTTTATGTTTTACGGATTTTTTTGTAAATACAAATTAATTAAATTAGAAAACGACACTTAATTAATTGGATAAAATAATGAACGAAGGATTTAAAATAGCCAATCGCAGTTTCTTTTTAACTAAATGGACAACAAACTTCAAAGGCTCAAAGAAAATACGAAATTTCATTCTAATATTTTTACATTTCAGTAAGGCATATTTGAGTTTTTATTTATTATTATTTTAGATAAAATAAATAAAAAATATTAGTATGTAAGGGAAGTGAAAATAAAAATTAGAGCTAATATCACATTTGGAGGCAAAAAACCAGAAGTCGCTGATTTTTGATATCTAGAAAGTAAGATAAACCAGGAGTAAAAAATAATCCGAGATATAAAGCAAAGACCAGCGCAGGGTCAAGTTGCATTTAACAGAAAGATGTCACTTCTATGGAAATTCGAAAAGATTATTAAGAGTGCATATATCTTCTAAGATAGGAGCTAGTTGGAGGTATATTAAAAGTAGAAACAGAAGTTACGTGGAGTAGAGGTAAACCTAGATCAGATTACTGGTCGCAAATTGTTAGATATGCGGGATGTTCTAATTTTCGGGGAAACCGAAGACTGACTCAGTTAGGACGGAGTGGAGGTATATGCCCAACCAGACTTCGGACTGACGACCTTACGATAATGATTTTAAATTTTGTCAATTTGGTTAGAATGTAAAAGATATGTTAAATGAAATAATAAGAAAATTTTAAGATTGGCTATTTAAACCATTAAATGGTGTTAAAATAACGAGAAATTAAATAACATACAATATTAAATAAGTACTTGTCGATATTATTTACAAATATAATTACGTGAATGACTACGAGCTAAAATCCTAAATAATACGTACAATCTATAATAATATAAATAATAATTTGTACTGACATTTACTTAAAAAAAAAAATGAAAATAAAATACGTCTTATCCTTAAAAATGTATCAAAAAATAAAATACCTGGAGCGCGATATACGAAAATTAAAAAAAAACATCATTCTACATTTGTTCCGAAACTACATTCGTAATACTTTTAATAATAAATAAAATGAAATCAACTCAAACTCTTGGAAACTTCTGTTGTTTATGTTAATAATTGTTAATTAATTAATTTATATTTATTAATTAATTAATGCTTATTTGTACTAGAACGAAAATAGGTTGGAATTTTAGAATAGATAATTACATTAATGTTTTGTTAACTATGGAATTTCTTTTCTTTATACTTAATAATGTTGTAAATTTTTACCTTTTTGTAAGACTAATTGTTGTAAGCTTACGTTGGTGAATCCGAAAGATCGTCTTTTAACCACTGTGGTATATTCCTTATTCCTATTTTCTTCATCAACTTTACTAGAGCTGTATTATGACTTAAATAGTACCTCTGTAAAAATTTCATCGACTTCTCTTCCATGGGTGGATATTGGCGACCTTTACTCCTTCCTAAACACTTTGTATGGTCACCATTTACAACTTGACAATAGAATCCTTTTTTAGGATCAAATCTACAACAAATAAAATAAGTGATACTTCGTAAATAAAAGAAGTCTTTCTTCTGACTTACTTTAAATGATTTGCGTAGTCAAAAGGGGGGGAAATTTTTAAAAACCTTTGAATCTCAGTCATTACATTCACAGGATTTGATTTTAAGTCTTCTCCATCGATGATGTGGATTTGTTGTTGTGGAAAATACAACAACCACCTCTCAAGGTGTTGCGCATACTTCCCCGGATTTAAACATCGATTCCTCAGGTCTCGGAGGGGTTTCGGAGCGGTATCGTTGGCCGTAATGACCTGGTGAAAGCTGAAGTTATTGGCGATAACATCACCATGGGCTTTAGTGTGCTGGTACCATGAATATGCCCGCCTAGCTGGAGATATAAGAATGGTAACAAGTTTTGCGTGAGGTAAAAGAGACTGTACACGTTTAGGAACGAGATCTCCGTCAAAATAAGTGGCGCTTTTCTCGAAAAAGAACCTGTTTGTCGAGTTGGGATCAACAGGGAAGAAATTCATGTACCTAAATTAAAATGAAAAATAAAATGTTATTAAATTGTTCTTTTTATTGGAGATTACATCATTCAGATAAATACTTTCGTAACTTACCAGTCTAGGCCTTTATAGTAGTTGTTTGCGTTAAAGAACTGTATTTCTTCAAACGTGTCAGGACTAGGTAAGTTACTAGCTATGGTGGGATGCATAGCCAAAAATGAGTAAAGAGCAGTGGTTCCAGTCTTTTGTGGACCGATCACTAAAAACTTCGGAATTGAATCGCACGATTTAGTTCGAGACCAAATTTTTTTATGTCTAGGATCATCACAAGGATTCTAAAGGAAAAAATGTTTTAATCGCAACATTATGCAACAACGGATTTTTAGACTTACCCCCCAAATAGGATCAGCCTCCTCTTTAAACAATTTAAAATACATTTCGGCCAGTTGGAGAGGAGGCGCAGTTTTTAAAGTGATGTTAGTCCAACACTTTAAAAATTTGATTACGGCTTTAAACGTATACAGTGCTAACTGATCATTGCCATAATTGGACATGTGGGTCATAAATATATTAATCTACAAAAAAAAATAAAAGAACATTACTACATGTTGAAATATTCATCAGTAATTAAAGAAAGCAAGTTTGATAGTTATAGTTTCTTACAGGATTGTATACCACAGTTTGGAACAATTCTCCTCCCAAAATTGATTCGTCCAATTTTTCTTTTCCACCAGGATATCTCTTTAGCACAATGGTATGGGTAAATAACCCGCACGTTTGGCGAGGAAGCACCATTATGTTCCTATGAATAAAACCTCTTCGTAATCTGAAAATTAATTTTAACAAATAAATATGTATCACAAATTTTAATAACGAGCTAATTAATAACAAACCTTGCTGGACGCAAATGAGGATATTCCTCAGTTGAAGTTACGCGGATATTCCAAACTTTCTTCCACGCTGTGTACAAAATTTCGTGAACAGGGTAAACTCCTGAATGGTGAGGAGAAACTGAGTAACCAGAATCAATTGGAATGCCTAAAGAAAATGAATAACTGCATACTTATTTCAATAATAAATATTATTAATAAGAAGGTACCTTTTTCAATTGCAAATTTCTTATTCTGCGACATATCATCAACCAACTGCGTCAAATTGTCGTACAAGTGCGGCTGTTGATGATTCCACATATGTGAAAACCACATAAACTTATCAACATTTTCTAGTATTTTATCATCTCCTGTATCCTCTTCACTGTTTCCATGATGAAAATATTTCCCTGAATAGCCTAAATTAAAGCGAAAACCGGGGACCATTTTCTGAATCTCTTCCTGAGCTTTGATCATGTCCTCCACGTCACTTGGACGCATTCTCGTACCTTCTTCGCCAACAAATATATCATCAACATCTATCAAAATGTACCGTTCGAGGGACAATGACAGCTGACCATGACTTAAATAACTCAAAGAATCCAAAAACAGCAGCCTATGTAACCAAAATTTCAGACCTGAACCGAATATTACCCTCTTAATGTCATCGTAGAGCCCTTTGTCTTGAACAACTGTTGGTAAAGGAGTTTTGATGATATCTGTAAATGTGAAATTGTATTAAAAATTTTTAGAAACCAGATCTATTTTTACCTCCAAAATGCTGCCTTTCGTCCCTATGAGCCCACTCCAGAGGTTCATAAGTTGAATGATTTGGTTTGAAAATTGTCCAGCCATCACCTGGTAATGATCCAGACACTGTTTCACCTGCTCTAGTTAAACGTAGAATCTCAGAAGCTGCATTTAATGCTGCATCCTAAATCAAAAATTCTGATTAATCAGCAAGTACTAAAATTGCTTTCTTTTTTATTTACCTTCAGTCTTAAGTTTGTGTGAATGAAAATTGGAAATCCTTTTAGTTGATCCCCAACTAGAGTCTCTTCTCTGGGCGGGTTTATAAAGCCTATAATTCCTACATTATACTCTTTGCAATATTTGTCTAAAAGTTCTCTATTCCACTTGTCCATTTGCAAATATCTATCAAAATTTTCAAAAACTATCACTCCATATTTTCCTTTGTCTAAATTGGTCAGAACTGGCAAACTTTTGCCAGAAACTTCAAGTTTATATCTAATAAAATAAAAAAATTCAACAGTATGTATCCTCTTTATCATAAGTGATTATTTACACTTACTTTATTCTAGTATAAACTAATAGTTCTGCAATGTCTCGACCTAGTTTTGAATACATTGTTTCCACAAACACTAAAACTCTAGGGTCAATTCGTAAACGAGCTGAAGTCTTGTGATTGTGACTTTGGAACAATCTTGGACCATTTATCGAATTACACTGAACATCTAATCTAGGTGGCACAGTATCAGTATAGCTTGAAAACATAAAAATGAGATAAAAAATTACTGCAAATTAAAATAAATTAAAAATAACAATGTAATTGAAAAAGCAAGCACAATAGATAAAAAGCCCAATCACGTTAACAAAAGAAATAATAATAACAAAGAACAAAAAATAAAACTAATGAAAAAAGTAATTTAGTTGTTATTCTTACCTCTTAAACTGCAAATTTATAATTTGATAGAAATATACCATCGAAGCAATACTCAAAATTATAATAGCAATAATCCATTTTTTAAAATGTTTGGGTGTAAAAGTGAAACAAGAACTTCTTGTAAGTGAGATATTAAAACGTCGATTAAGACCTACACGATATCTTCTTGGTATCAGAGGCTCAAAATCATATCCTTCTTTGTTTGATTTTAACAATGGAAGTGTAAGATCGCTCACTTTGGATTTCATTTTGATTACACACAGAAAGTACTTCTTTATAAATATGCTGTAGTTATTGACTTTGGTTTACTCTGATATTGATCAGGCAGTGAATAATTAAATAAAATTTCAGTAGACCGTTTTAGGATTAGGTATTTAATTTTAAATATTAATAAAATTGATGAAGATATAGAGACTACTTGAAAATATGGCACAAATATTTAGCTCACAGGAATGTTTCTATTTTAATTTCCAATAAACTGTTAACTAAAAATTGACTTTAGGTATCTCCATTTACTGTGTTTTCGCTCAAATTTAAAAACTCTGATAGATATCATCTCTGAGATGGTGAAAATATGTGTAATCATTATTAGTATGATCATAATTTACAATGGCACTGCATGATAAATACATCACAATCTTGTTATCTGTTGTTTCCTGTGTTAAAAAAATGTTTACACCTACAAAAGAAAAAGACATATGATAAACCCCATGCATAAATCTCAATCTAAATTACACTATAACAAATTTAAAATAAATATTACTAATCGTTTATGTAATGAATGTAATGTTTTGCATATTAATTATTTTGCAATAAAAATAGTGTAACATTGTAAATTGTATATTAGGTTCCTACGTTTTATAGAAAGCTGCATTTATTATTAAAACTAAACATTTGTTTAGTGTAACATACCTGTACTTTATAGAGTAATTTTTAATTAAAAAAATACTGAAAACAATTTCAGATCTTTAAACGTTGTTTTGGTTATAACTTTCATTCACAACTGTCACGAAACTGTCATAACATATTGGCATGGAGACATTAGACAATTGATAATATAGAATGAAGTTAGGTAACCGTAAATGTAAGAAAATGCGTTCGCACAAGATATAACGAACTGAACAAAATGAACTTTATAAATAACTTACATTTTTATAAAAATAAAAAAAATAAATGCATAATTTTACAAAAATTATCAAGATTATTATATTTCATTCTATTTTCCAACCACATAACATACATTTTTTAAAAGCCGTTTATTTTACATCATAATCTTCAATTGCCCATACACGTGTATCAGCAATATATTTTCAAAATTTTACAATTGAATAAACTATTTGACAAGAAAGCGTAAATTTTCATTCACAAATTTTTCATAATTTTTATCATCACGTTATCACTGCTTCACTGATGAACACTTTTCGATATCTTAACATAAAAATTCTCGTGTTGTACAATAGGAATTTTGTATGGTAAATAGATATACCCTTAAAAATAATCTATTTGCTAATTGAATTTTCAGTTAATCAATAAACCTTCATTCTACGTATAGGAAATTTATTACAAAGGACTACAAGGGGTCACGCGTATTGTGTAAATGAGCTATAACAAAAACCTGCTTTCGCGTTTTGTAATCTTTTGAGAGAATTCTGAATTATTAGATAACTTCCATAATATGTATATAAAATAGTACAGCTAGTTTAGAATGACATGAACCTTCGAAATGGACTTTATATTGCATTCACATTGTACATTACGAAAACATTGACTTGGTTATTTAGCAGGTACTTTGCTGTATATACAACCAGGGATGAATGTGAACTGTAAACAATGACGGCGAATGTATTTGGGGATAGAATTTGGAAAGAATTAATGAATGGACGGAGTTTTGTCAATGCGCAATTCAATATCAAGGTTCATGTCTTTTTAAATTACCTGTACAAAACGCGTCGAATGAACGAATTAATTACCGAGAATAAATATAATATAAGTACGCAGATACCAGGAATTTCCACTGTACAGTTATAAAAAAGCGAGATAATAAACAATACAGTAAATTTAATTTTCATTTTTATAAAAGTAACAGTTTTTATCTAATGTTGAGTAGATATTCTGTATTTGATTAAATTCTTCTGTACAACTGATTTGATTTTATAAGTATTTCGTTAATTTATGAAGTGGCTTCCCAATTTTTATACACCTACATATTTCAGAACTTAAAAACTTTACATTTTTACAAGTTTATGATCAAATACGTTTTACCCTTTACTTCTCTTCTTTCTGTTTTCTTTGCCCAAATTCCATTAACAAATATATTGTTGTATATTGCTTATAAGTTCGTAAAAACTTGTGCTTCATTGAATTTTCAATCTAGACTATCTTTTTATATTAAATCTGCATAAGCGCGGAAAATGTTTCGAACATTATCAGGACGCGGTAATTTCCACGCCACTAAATACACGCTAGAATTAAAAAATTATAAACTACAGGCGGCTATTCAGCTGATGTAAGTTAAAAGCCTCTTGATCTATTTTCTGGATAGTACCATGATTCATTTAAATATAGCCAGTGGAGGATTTACGAAAAAAGATTTGGTCGGAAATCTTTCAAGTAGTCGTAATGTAGTTGTAATGTTACAATCTTCGTGTTGCTTTTTGTTCTGTAATTACTTTCATTGCAGAAGCTAAATTGAGTAACTTTGCCATTGATCTTTCAATGTAAATGATACAAAAATATTAACTGCGTTTTCAGTTACAGAAGCTCAGCGATATCCTTTAATAATTTTTAAATAACTCATGACATGTTTAACACCAGCTGAATCTATAGGCAAAGTCAAAAACAATTTAGATATACTGTAACATTTGAGAAAATTTTCTATTATATATTGTTAANTGAGGTTCAGGTTTTGAATTATGATTTTTAAAATGTACATTATGCGAATCTTTTTCATTAGATTTTTCTTTGGAAGGGTCTCCAAATAAAGCGTTGTAAACAAAATTTGAAATTTCATTAAATGTTTTCGGTAAACGTTCGGTTTTATTAGTGGAAATAATGGTGCCGTTGTCCATCGTTGAGCTAAAGGGAGTACTATCAGTATGTGTCAATATTTCTGGGTTGTTGCTATAATTAGGAAAATCAGACACGTTGCTGTTGTACCTTTTTACTTCAGAATCCTCCAAAGGTTTTGCTTGTACCACACCAAGCCCAAAGATGAGGCACATTACTCGAAGTTTTGTAGCACTTTTCATGGTAACCTGAAAATAAAATAATACATTTATTTAACTACTAAAAGCACCGTTTCTCTTTTGTAGAAGCATCTGAAAGACATAATTTTCTATTCTATCCAACTATATAAAATGACGAATGAAAGCTGCTTGTCTGTCTTTTAATTCTTTAACTAAAGAAAGCCCAAAAAATTCTAAACTCTTAATCCAAAATATTGGATTGATATTGTTTTCCGGGTTCAATGTCACAGTCTATGGAATTTTGAGGTCCCAAATTGATATCAGCACTTGCTATTGCTAAATCACCACTTATCGTACTTTTAGCAAAGAAGTACGAAATTCTATGAATTACTTTAAAACAGCCAGCAAAATAATATCAAACTATATCTCAATGACTTCAAACAGAAAAAAACTTTTAAAGATATAAAAACTTACTCAATCATGTCACAGCCGATTATGGTGTAGACACCACTATTGGTTTAGAAAAACTCCAATATTTAAATGACGAAACAAATGCCTAAAAGGTTTTCATAAAAGAGTAGAAAATTAAATAGGTATTACAAAAAAGTATTTATTGGAGAAAGTATTTTGAAAACACGTATTTTGCATTTAGCAATTTGCATTTTGTATTTAAATGCTTTTAGAAAACCATTTTGCATATCTTTATTTACAATCATGAATTCTAAATAATGCAATAAACTGTCGTTTAAGAAATAACGATTTTCTGATAATTATGTCTACATATCAGCGAAATGGACTAGTTCATGTTAGATCTGAGGTGAAAATTTTTTGAGTATTTCTTTATTGAAGTCGTTACACTGGTTTTTTAATCGTTTTCTCCTAGAATCCTCAAATTCTAAGGCAAAAAAAACTGAAAACGTCATTTATTTTCCAAAATCCGCGTGCCCATTCACGCAATTTGTATGACACAACAAGATCTCTGGAGGTGAATATTGCAGCTCATTTTACTTTCCATCCATTGCAAAAATTGATGTTTTGTAGAAGAGAAATCTCAAGTAAGACTCTTTACAAACAGAATAAGCCTTTACACTGTCGAACATCACCCGAGGCAAAACCGATAAAATAGTAGTTGTTTAAAAATGTTTATAATTAACGAACAATCACAATAGAACGTCTAAAAATGTACCGAATTTGTAGCTCTTGTATAACGCAACAAGAGGTGGACGTTGTGTATTTAACCGTTTTTGCACAATTGCAACTGTTTATTAAAAAGGAATTTTTTTGAAAATTAATTTGTTGCTTCAGGATACCTTCGACAGTGTCCAATGCGGGCTGATTTTGTTCGTAATGAGTCGTATCTGATATTTCTATTTTGCAGAACATTAATTTTTGCAATGGATGAAGAGTAAAATGAGCTGCAATATTCACATCAGGGAATCTTGTTATGTTGTACAAGAGCTACAATTTCGACGCACTTTTAGTCGTTTTAAATTGATTATCTATCGAACAAACAGAATAGCTCAAAACCCCAACGCCAAAACACGATACTGTAGTTGTCCGAAGCACTTTTCGGTAACAAAGTTACCTTCTTCAGGGACTGAAGTAAACTGTCGTGTTTTGGCATTGGGGTTTTGAGCTATTCTGTTTGTTCTACAACAACCGCCAAAGTTTTTCCAATCTTCATATTTGATTATCTATCAATTATAAATAAACTTAAACAACCACTATTTTATTGGTTTTATGTAATTTAATTAATTAATTAAATTAAATCAAATTAAATTAAAGTAAACTAATAATCTGACCGTTAACCACCACGACTCATTTTGCAGGTTTTTGGAATACCTACATCTTCCACATACACTTTTTAGTTAATCCAACAGGAAAAAACTATAATCAAAAAACTACTTTTTTTTGCCGTAATTAGACTGCCATAAATTTTCCAAATAAATTAAGCAGTTCAAAACAACTTATTATTGATACAGACTACTCAAGGTATCTAAATGAATTGGCAAACTGACGTCTGCATTTTCTTAAAAAAATAGGGGTCTGAGCGTCTTTCTTACTGGTTTGGTCAAAAATTTTCTTGATTTAACATTTCCTGACGTTGGGAAAATCAGCACATTCTCTGCCCATTTCCTTCTATTTGTTTTACGTATCTTTATTTATTTTCTCCAGAAGTTCTAACTCTTCAAATTTTATCCACTGTGCAATTAATGTTCATTATTGGAGGGCATAATTCTAAGTACTAAGTTATAGCTTTTTTGCAACTACTTATTTTTGAATGCACGAACTATCACTGATATGAACCTATCCGTAGGAAAAATTAAAACACAATTTACTTACAGTTTCAAAAGTAACTGTAAATTATAGAAAAGGTAACGTTAAAAGTGATTAGTAGCTATAACGACCACGTTTATAGCGTTGGTTCGCATACAGCAACGATGTTTTATACTTTTGGTTAGTTTTATAGGGATGATAAAACCTCAATATATGACGTCTTTTTTTGTAGTTACGAATACGTTTTTAACGACCTAAATTTGAATATAATATATTTTTAAATTCGGATATAACGACAGAGTTTCATTTTTTTCGTCTTTTATGAGGAACAGTAGAAGATGCATATTTTATTAATTGAATTAGTANTTCTTTGGTGGTTTTAGTTCTTGCATCAAAATTGTGAAAAAAAAACACTATAAATAACTACATAAAAGGTCATTTACAGAGGCTGTTCTATAAAACAATTTAAGATTACAAAGTTTTTTTTGACAAGTTGAGAATATCTATGTGCTGATGGGAGTTAAAATGCCAATAAGTTTGACGGGGGTTCAATGTAAAAAAGACCCATTTACTCGTTAGTAAACACATTATCTAAAATTAAATCATTCACTTTTGATTATTTAGCTAATAAGAAATTCATAAAACCTAAAATAGTTATACGTAATATGTATTTGATACTAAAAGATGCTGTACTCAACGTGCGTGTTAAATTCGTACTGTTTGGATCTTTTAATTTTTGCGCTTTTTATTACGTGATTTTTTTATTTTCAGGTATTTAGTATTCTTCTCGCCACGTGTTACGCAAATAACGAACCGGAAAGTTATTCTTTTTATCGATTTAGTGGACCAGTAAGTGGTAAAGTTCAGGAAATCCAAGTACCATCACAGTACAAAGGAGTAGCGGTAGACTATGTGGTACGTATTTCGAGATAAAATTGGACAGTTAATGAAAAAGGACCCCGCTGGATCCTGATGACGGAAAACGGCCCCCTGTCAAACTTTTTGAAACTTTGGATTCTGGTAGTTCTGCATCTAAAAGTACAACTTTAAAGGACGAGTTTTTACGACTTAGCGCCCCTCATTGAGACTTTTTATTTGTACGTTGAGAACTACCAGAATTCAATGTTTTAGAGAGTTTGACAGAGAGATCCTTTATTCTATAAAAAATCGTTTTCAGGCAAAACCCGATTACTCCTATAACTATGAAGTTCAAGATCCAGCGATAGGGAATCAACAAAAACGAAAAGAGTCACGAGATTGAAACGCGTTATTGACTTTGGTTTACTCTGATATTGATCAGGCAGTGAATAATTAAATAAAATTTCAGTAGACCGTTTTAGGATTAGGTATTTAATTTTAAATATTAATAAAATTGATGAAGATATAGAGACTACTTGAAAATATGGCACAAATATTTAGCTCNAGTAGGAAAAATTAAAACAAAATTTACTTACAGTTTCAAAAGTAACTGTAAATTATAGAAAAGGTAACGTTAAAAGTGATTAGTAGCTATAACGACCACGTTTATAGCGTTGGTTCGCATACAGTGACGATGTTTTATAGTTTTGGTTAGTTTTATAGGTATGATAAAACCTCAGTATATGACGCCTTTTTTTGTAGTTACGAATACGTTTTTAACGACCTAAATTTGACTATAATATATTTTTAAATTCGGACATAACGACAGAGTTTCATTTTTTTCGTCGTTTACGAGGAACAGTAGAAGATGCATATTTTATTAATTGAATTAGTAGAAGTAATATATTTGTTTTGTACGAATTTTAAAAAAATTATTATAAATTATTAAGCGTCATTTCAAAAGAATTTCAATTTAGTGTTATCGTGGAAAACACCATGGCCCTAGTGGTATAGCAGCGGTAAGCACGCGCCCGCCATAATTTCGCAGGCAATTTTGCAAAAACCATACACGAATCGATTCTTTCCGCAGAAAAAAAGACATTATGCAATTTATTTTATTTTATATATAAAATATTGCACTTGCATTCACATTCAGTAAGCAACTTGATATAAGTTTGTGCTGTATCTAATAATATAAGTGGGTGACAATGCAAACAATTTGTGTTGCTGTAAGTTTGGTTTAGATTTCTTTGGTGGTTTTAGTTCTTGCATCAAAATTGTGAAAAAAAAACACTATAAATAACTACATAAAAGGTCATTTACAGAGGCTGTTATATAAAACAATTTAAGATTACAAAGTTTTTTTTGACAAGTTGAGAATATCTATGTGCTGATGGGAGTTAAAATGCCAATAAGTTTGACGGGGGTTCAATGTAAAAAAGACCCATTTACTCGTTAGTAAACACATTATCTAAAATTAAATCATTCACTTTTGATTATTTAGCTAATAGGAAATTCATAAAACCTAAAATAGTTATACGTAATATGTATTTGATACTAAAAGATGCTGTACTCAACGTGCGTGTTAAATTCGTACTGTTTGGATCTTTTAATTTTTGCGCTTTTTATTACGTGATTTTTTTATTTTCAGGTATTTAGTATTCTTCTCGCCACGTGTTACGCAAATAACGAACCGGAAAGTTATTCTTTTTATCGATTTAGTGGACCAGTAAGTGGTAAAGTTCAGGAAATCCAAGTACCATCACAGTACAAAGGAGTAGCGGTAGACTATGTGGTACGTATTTCGAGATAAAATTGGACAGTTAATGAAAAAGGACCCCGCTGGATCCTGATGACGGAAAACGGCCCCCTGTCAAACTTTTTGAAACTTTGGATTCTGGTAATTCTGCGTCTGAAAGCATTCAATACGTATAATAGGTAGATTGTAGTCCTTACGAAAGGATACAACTTTAAAGGATGAGTTTTTACGACTTAGCGCCCCTCATTGAGACTTTTTATTTATACGTTGAGAACTACCAGAATTCAATGTTTTAGAGAGTTTGACAGAGAGATCCTTTATTCTATAAAAAATCATTTTCAGGCAAAACCCGATTACTCCTACAACTATGAAGTTCAAGATCCAGCGATAGGGAATCAACAAAAACGAAAAGAGTCACGAGATGGAGACGCTGTACAGGGCGAATATAGTTTCCTACAAGCCGATGGCGTAACTAGAGTTGTCCGATATGTTGCCGATCCTGTAAATGGTTTCAAAGCTACCGTTGAATATGTTTAATAACTCGTTAAAGACTTGTTAGATCTCAAAAATAGTACTGATTCTAATTTGTGATAATCACTCAAATCATACGTTTTCAATGTTCACAACGTTTTAAGCTTTTTACTTGTTTTAAAATTTAGTGAATCATAATGAAAATTACGATATTAACCGAAACGTTTTTATTTGCTCTCTATGAGGAGTTATAATTACCGTTATTTACTTTATGTAAACTTTACTTACTGTGTAGCTGTTGTAGAATTTTGTTGTTAGCTATTTCGTATTTTTAATTGATTTAAACGTTTATTTTTAGTTTTATAAAAGTGACAGAAATATATTTTAAGTTAATAAACCATGGTATTTAATTATAACGGTATACTATGACACCTATCATTATCATCACGAGGTCCTAAGAATATCATACTAAATATATAGAAAAGGAGACTGTAGCGTGAAAATAATAAAATAACCAAAAGGACTTACCCTAATAACCACAACAATTTGAAAACTGTGGACACGTCATTCATTCACATTTTGTGCATCTTCAACGTAAGACTAGTTCTTGATAACTCAAGATCAAGAACTTGTCTTGCGCTTCTTGTTCTCTAACTCCTCCTAACACCTCTCATTGCTATCCAACTTTTTGATTATTCTTTATTGAACTTTCAAAATTAATATAAACATCATCATCATCATAAGGTCGTCAGTCCTAAGACTGGTTGGACACGTACCTCCACTCTTTCCTATCCTGTGCTAATCTTCGGATTTCCGTAAAGCTAGAAAAAAACTTTTGGGTGTTTCATTCCCACCAGCCAGTAATGCTGGTGGGCGGGCAGTCCCTGCGGACTATGTCGGAAGGTAGGGCGGATGGCCCTCTTCAGCCTGCTTTCAGGAATCGTGGGAATGGGTGGGTGGTGGTTCGGGTGAGAAAGTTGAGACGGACGAAATGAAGACAGAAGAGAATGAAAGATTATCTGTGGAATATTACTGCCCAAGCATTTGCCTAAGTGATCCAAGGAAACCACAGAAAAACTTGGATCNAACATAGCAATGTTTTATTTTACAACATTTACAACTCGATAATTTGAAGCTTATTACGTCTATAGTTCAAAGAAAATTAAGTAATCAACTTTAAGAATTTGCCGACAATGTAAGTACACCACAAGTCAAAATCCTCCATAAGTCGAAAACTGTACATTTCGTATTTTTTGATGTCTCCCTTGATGCTCGAGTTATAGAGGTTCTATTGCATAAGGTTAAATAATTGAGAGTAATATAATTCCTTGATTATTCATGATCTTGTAACAATTATCCGCTAAGTAACGATTATTTCGATAATTCGTTTTGTTGTGCTTGTTACGCAAACAAAATTCTATTGTGGTAAAGGGAAGTAATATATGTAGTAAGTATACGATGGCATCGTAATGACAGCAGTAGATGCATTTCGTTCGTTAAAACTGGGCCACTGAGCACGCCAGGAAGTTAAACGAATGGTCTGCACGAAACCAGGAAGAAACAATAAATTTTTTTCATATGCAAAACAGCGTGGGCGAGTAAAGTGATTGAAAAGATTACGCATCCCGTTTAAAATACATAACTCGCTTTACTATTACGATACGTTTGTTTCGTCCAAGTCGGCTGTTCCATTTATTGTTTCTTTTTTCCTCTAAGTGGTCGCGATTTTGTTTTTTTCGGAAGTAAGCATTTATTAATTTGTTTTTAGTTATTTCTATTATATTTAAATACGAATAACAACTTTTATAAAATAAAATACGTACAGTACGTAAGCAATGTATACAATGTATTGACCGATTTAGCCTTAAAACGAAGTGTAAGGTGGTTCGCACTGATCTAAATAAATAAAAATAAATTGGATTCCTAAATTCCTATTTTGGTAGTGCGGAAACTACTGACATTCCATTTATCTACGCAAATGCAAGACGGCGAATATGCCTATTAGAAGAAACCCAAAAACTGTATTAGATTCAAGCATCCATCCATGTGGCTAACGGGCTATGACGTTCGTTAATCTTTTACGATCTGGACGCGTTTGTTACGTTAATATATTTTATGTAAGCTATATTAGTTTGCCTGCAAAATCGACGCATTAATACTTTCTCTTCTGAATATTCGCAAGAGTCACTTCAATACAAACATAGTACACACACATACGTTACTGTATATATATGCACACTCCTGTCTTGCGATCGCCGACTGTTATCTAACAAATGGTGACCAGAGAAGGCACACATCGCGAAATTGTAACTGGACCATTAGGTTAGTGTTTATGTCGCAGCAAGTGCAATAACGAAAAAAGTGACTCAACGCTTATTTTAAACGCGTAAAACACGTAACACGAATTCTCGCTTATTTTGGGAAAGTAAAGCTCTCATTCTGTTACAAATGAGTAAAACTTTGTTACAGATGGAAGGCTAATTAAAACACGAGAGCAATATTAACGCTTTGCATTTAAGACGAACTTGGAACTTCTGAAACTTTAACTTCTATAACTCGAAATCTTTTTTAATTCGAATATTCTTCTTATATTTAACTAATAATAGCATTTCACCATATCATTATACGAGGGTGGATTGATAAGTTTCCGGCCTGACCAAGAAAAACAAGGTTTTTAAAAATTTTTTTTTTTATTTCTCAACATAATCTCCTCCAAGGCTGATACATTTCTCATAGCGGTGTTCCAGTCTATTAATGCCATCTCTATAGACTGATTCGTCAAGCTCCTCAAAATAACCATTTACAGCTTCGATTACTTCTTCATTGTCCGCAAATCTCTTACCGCCAAGCCATTTTTTGAGATTAGGGAACAGAAAATAGTCACTCGGGGCTAGGTCTGGAGAGTAAGGAGGGTGCGGCATCAATTCAAACTTTAGATCGTTGATTTTAGCCGTCGCAACGATTGACGTGTGCGCTGGTGCGTTATCGTGATGAAACAAGATTTTTTTCTTCGCCAGATGAGGTCGTTTAATTTTCACCTCGTGGCTCAAACGTTGCAATAAGTCTGCGTAGTATTGACCAGTGATAGTATTACCCTTTGCAAGGTAATCAATGTATATAATACCTCTTGCATCCCAAAAAACAGTAGCCATAACCTTGTTCGCCGAAAAAATTGTTTTTGCCTTCTTTGGAGTTGGTTCCCCTGGTCCAATCCACTGTTTAGACTGTTCTTTGGTTTCAGGAGTGTAGTGGTGGACCCACGTTTCGTCAACGGTTACGAATCGACGCAAAAATTCGCTTGGATTACGCTTATACAATGACAAATTTGCGGTAGAAATGTTTTTTCGAATCAATTTTTGGTCGACTGTTAGCAAACGCGGCACCCATCTTGCACAGAGCTTTTCCATATGCAAATGTTGGTGCAAAATATGTTGCACACGTTCATATGACATCTTACAGGTCTCAGCTATCTCACGCACTTTCAATCTGCGGTCTCCCAGCACTATTTGATGAATTTTTTCGATCATATCTGGAGTTGTGACCTCAACGGGGCGTCCTGAGCGAGGCCCATCAGAGGTGCTCACACGACCCTTTTTAAACTCGGAAACCCACTGCTTAACGGTTGAATATGACGGGGAGGATGTCCCCAGTGTTGAGTCCATCTCTTTTTTAATTTCCTTCGGCGTTAACCCCTTCAAATAAAAGTATTTGATGACAGCACGATTTTCCTGCTTTTCCATTTTTACGAAAACCACAGAGGCGTCTTGTTCAGCGTGCTGTCAAACCTACACTAGCAAGGAGATCGGGCTGAAACTATAGCTACAAGCTATCCAAGGATGGTACTATAGAATGTCACCTCAAGGTAGGCCTAGTGGCGTCATCTCTTGGTTAGGCCGGAAACTTATCAATCCACCCTCGTACATATACACTCAAATACTTGTCATTTAGTATCTCACTAATTAGCAGTTTTCTACTGTTTCTTTTGTACTACACGCTCATCGACGGAAAAATGAATAAAGAAATATTAAACTCCAAACGCCCTAATACTAAAAAAAAAAAAAAAACAAAACACAAATTATAATTTATAATGGTATTAGGTGTATGTATCTAGGAAGTTTTTCAACTAAATCAAGTACCTACCTAAACTCGTTCAAAATTTTACTAACAGCTTTTTTCCTTTAAAACAAGTAATTCTCTAACTAAATTCATAAAAGAACGGCAGAGGTTACTCTAAAAATTTTAACATGTTATTCAATATAATTTGATGTCTAGGAATTTTGTTCAAGTTTTATGTGATTGTAGGACTCAAATTTTAGGAGTGTGTGAACAGAATTAATTTTTGTTTTTTAATAATTTATTTTTTTTTATAATTTAGACATTCATGACGGTCCGCACTGAATAATTGATCTTTCGCATTCCAGTCGGTATTATTTCGTAAGTTTCGAGAGGTTTGCGTTCTTTAAGAAACTGAAACTCTAATCAATCAATTTTCTATACCTTATCTAGCCTAACAAGACTACCAATTATATACCGTGAATGAAATCAAAATCAGGCATCTTATGAAATGCCTGTTCTGGTAATCAATAAAGAACCCAGGCATGCATTTCATAAAGAGCCCGGTTATGAATTTGGGCCACAATTAGTTCTACAGCAAGTAATGAAGAATCCGATGTAGTATCTAGCTTAGAACCCAATTCGACACCCAGTTGTGTTTTCTGATTTAGACCTGGAGAGAGTGACAAGAGTTCAAGAATGATTTTCAAACTTATGCCTTCAGGGTAGATAGTGAAAGTTATATCAGAGACAAGTAAAACAAGCGGAAGCGGGTAGTCGCCGAGGTGTCATTTTTGTGAAATTTGAAATAAAATATAATCGCATAAAAGAAAATGAAGTTAGGCTTCGGAATGTTGGTGAAAATTTTCAGCTTGGTTTCGTGATTTTCTCATGAATGAAATAATAGGGTCTCTTGCAAAAAGTATTACATTCTAGCCCTGATGAGTGAAGCTGCACGCCCTTGATCACAAATCCGAACAAAACTTGCATGAGAATTATGTACTAATTATGTGACGAAGAATAACTTGTATGTTACAAATAACGAACTTTTTAAAAAATTTCAAAAAAACTACAGGAGCGTATTGGAAATTCCTACATGACACATATTGAAATCGTTCCATAAACAAAAAATTTATTGCAAAAATGATGAT